ACTGAAGTAGTCATGGTTAGATCATGAGATTGTCATCATAAATTAATAAAATATCAGTCGTGATGTTCAAATCATATCAATTTCCGAGCCTCAATTATTTTGATTCCGCACTATCACCTTTACCAAACGTCTAAAACGTAATTCTAAAAAAGCTTCTAAATAATCGAATGAATCGTTTGACGTGATGAACAGCGGATAATAATAATGTTTAAACGCTGGAAGCACTGTGACAAGCTCACAATCCCGATGCTATGTTTAAACGCTAGAAGCAGTGTGACAAGCCCACAATCCCGATGCTATGTTTAAACGCTAGAAGCAGTGTGACAAGCCCACAATCCCGATGCTATGTTTAAACGCTAGAAGCAATCTGACAAGCCCACAATCCCGATGCTATGTTTAAACTCTAGAAGCAGTGTGACAAGCCCACAATCCCGATGCTATGTTTAAACGCTAGAAGCAGTGTGACAAGCCCACAATCCCGATGCTATGTTTAAACGCTGGAAGCACTGTGACAAGCTCACAATCCCGATGCTATGTTTAAACTCTAGAAGCTATGTGACAAGCCTACAATCCCGATGCTATGTTTAAACGCTAGAAGCTATGTAAGCTGTGTAGAGGCTGACTAAACAAAACAGGCACGGATATTAATGCAATAAAGCATTTAGACTCGTACAGAATCGCATTACTGTACTTAGCTTTGACGTTTACTGGCATAATTGCTAACATTTCAGTAAAGGCAAGGCGGAGGAGGGAGGAGGAGGAGTGAGGGAGGAGGAGGCTGTAAATAACGATAATTATCGTGATTCTTAAGAATGGTGTACATGGCATTGTGATTAGCAGGTATCTCCACACCAAGCGAGATATATTATGCCGGAGAAATAAGCTACCTGGATCAACGTAATGATATTGTATATGATATGCGCATAATTAGTGAAGTATATGCGCATAATTAGTGAAGTTAACATTTTGTACCTACTGGTGTAGATACCAAACAAATGAACATTGAACATCTCTCGCCTCATGACATTATCATAGCTAGTAGACGACAGTCTAATTAATGAATCATTCTAAAGCATACGACCAGGAACTACACACGTAATCTTGGAAGTAGTGGAGCTATAAGAGAGGGCGTGTAAAAACCACGATACGGTTGCTATACCCATGATACGGTTGCTATAACCACGATAACAAATATATAGCAAACCACCCAATGGATGATGTAAAACTAAACGGTGGCTATGACAAATATAGTAAACTGCGACACAAAGTAATTGATATAGCAATGTTACATTATGCTCATAATAATGTAAAGAATATACCTAACATGTAAGCCATATAATACACAAAAGTACACGACATTATAGGTCGTACACAATTACTACATACATTGTGATTAACAAAATAAAACGTAACATGATAGTTAGGGCATTATGAATTTGCCATTTAAACTTTTAAATATAAGAGTTTCTATGCAGGAATGTGTTGTCCAATGTTTCGGGAACTACCCCGAAGAGTTGTAAAACTGAACGTAAAATATAAATAGCATATAAATAGCTAGATAGTAGATATTATAGCTACATATTTTCTCCAGGCGTCCCACAAATAAACTTTAAAAATTTGTTGCTCATGAGGGAGGCACTCAACGATTGAACAAGGGGTGGAAATGACTGAAACGGTCACATTATGGCACGCGAATTTGCTCATACCATCTTGAATAGAGATGTTTTAGTAGTAAAAATTACAAATCATTGGTATTTTTATTTATCTACTTTTACAACTCTTTGAGGTGGTTCCTGGGACTATGGTGGTTCGAGATACGCTATAGATTGGCATTAAAATACTACAGAGGTCTAGATTAGTCTACTCTAACAACTTCTTTAATCTAGGTACATTAACTTGTCTACTTACTCCTGCTTAGGTTGACTGGGTGCCTTACACGGGTTATTATAGACCTATGATATCACAACTTTAAATGATGATATTTTATTAACATCATTTATCAACGAACAACATGAGATATCGATGTTTGTTGTTAAACGCAGTCTTTTAACGAAGATTTAATACTGTTAGCGGTATCTTAGATATTTTATTTCTATTATTCGATATCATGTATTAAAATAATTTCCGTTGGGATGACGTAAGAATCCTGAATAAGCTGGTGTATAAAAAAATAAGAAAAGAGCTCAGATCACCAATAGAACACCGGAGAAGCACAATAAGCACAAGAAACGCAAGAAGCACACCATCCCACCTCACAGAAGACAATATACGATTGATCATGTGCAAGATTACAAGCTACCTGCGGATCTGTCGTGCCCTACAGGCGCTCCAAACAGGGCGTCCCTAACCAGCGTGCTGACGTAGTATAGCATCGCCCGAGTTACGCGAATATACAACATTACAACATACTGGTCACTGGTCACAAGCACGTACAGTGGTCACACTGCACGTTACACAGATAAGACAAATAATATAGCGTATAAAAACGAGAAATAGAGAAAAGAAACTTGATGTATATTATTATATTATGCGAGGAAGGCATGTACTATAAAGCTATAAGTTACGAGAGAGGTAGAGTTTCGCGTGAGGTAACACACGGGATGTTTTACAAAAGCGAATGGGAAAACAGCAGCTCGCAACAATGGAGACTAATTAAATGTTACACTGTAACGAGTGGGTAAGTAACACAATACCTTAACTAACTAAGCTGAGGTATACATTTCAGGTAACTATTCGCTATGAGCAGTGAAGTGACAGGGACTGTACGTGGTCTGGAGACAAATGTCAGAAAGAAAGAAGTACTGTCTGATTTTTATTTCTTGAAAATGTAACCAAATCTTACTATGATATCGGAACAATAGTTTACATTAGGTTACAGTAACAATAGGTAACAGTAAAACAATACATTTCAGAAATAACTGAGTAGAGAAGACAGGAACGGTTCGTGGCATAGAGAGAAATCAGACACTAGAAGTATCTGTTTTTTATTTCTAGAGAATAACACCAAATCTTACCATGATATCGACACAATAGGTTAAGTTAAACAATCTTTAGAGAGGGTTTGAGCCGACACAAAAGCCAATCCTTAGCTAATGAAAGGTAATTCTTTCAGCGGCAGGATTGACCACAAGAACAATTCTCCCTTCAAGAAGACAAAAGAGATCTGATAAAAAGGCAAGCCTTATTCGCGAAAACAAAAAAATAACCAGTGTGAATTGCATATCACGTCTAAAGTAATGACACAAGACAGAATAACCGTTGTCAGTAAAGCGGAGTGAATAATGCCCTGTGAGTTGAGTTTAGTTGTGGCTAGCACATATTAACCCTGTATTATTCTCCAATTATTGTAGGACAGTCTCGGCAAGCTGGAACAATACAGCCTGCAGTCTGAATCATGGAATGCGATCTTGCCTGGTAAGTGACATGGGAAAGGTAGGGAAAATTATCCAACGAGATTAATGGAAAAGAACAATAAAATTAACAGTCTCAATTAAAGTTGAGTGTCTTTTAATTGGATATTGTCACAGAGCATTGTCACAGAGTAACAAAAGGTCAGGAAGCGCAACTAATCCGTGTGGAATCAACTGAACCGCAAATAATCCGGAGAGGAATGTCACGAGTTTATAGACCGGTATGGGAGGTATGTTTAAAAGAATTGTAAAAACACCAAAATTTTAAAAATGTTTAAAACATCGAATTATATTTCGTCACATGAAATTCAGGTGATTACTCGTACATACGGGCTGTACTGCCGCTTTTCTCAGGAGAACGGAGATAATTTAACAAATTGTTCGAAAAATAGTCGAGATTGGGCGAAATATCTTAGCTAATGGTCTGAATTGTATACAAAACGGTCATGTCTCCTCCTGCAGTCACTTCTGCAGAATACATCTACATTTTACAAATTTATCATAAACGTTTAGCAGTTAGTTCGTACAGAAAGACCACACAAAAGGGACCGAATAAGGCCGCTTCTAAAGGTGCCAAACTGGGCAACAATTCCCCGTAAAGAATATCTTTACACGGCCCCACTAAGTGAATACAATTGAACATTACGTTGGTAGTTTGCCAAGAGAGTGGGGTATAGAGGTGTATGGTAACTAGCTTCCTTGCTCTGCTATCTATTCAAGTAGCGAAGCTCCTCACCAAGTCTACACTCAGATGCTACTAGGAAACTCTCTGAGAGCCGCCAATTCTGCGCAGAAACTTAAGCAATACAATACACGTAACAGGTGGGAATATATAACGACGGGTATTCTAGTCTTATCTGGGGCCTGTGTTGCAAGCAAGTCTTATCAAAGCAGTTTGACATGATAAATGGATAGAGTTACTTATCCGGTTACAAAAATAAGGAGGTCTATCTGAAATTATACGTCAGCTCTTTTAAAAGTGGCCTGATAGACTATGTACTAGTGTGTAAAAAAGAAGGGCCTTTTGATGTGTATGTGTTCAGTGGATACCGATAAAGGGAGAGAAGGTTTAGTGCAACGTATCACCGCAAAATAGGGAATAATGAGACTTATTGTTTTAGAAATAATATTTATGTGATCTGCCCCACCTGTTCAGATAGCACCAATTATAGTTTAATTAGAAACTTAATAGTTCAATTAAAAACTTAATTAAAAATATATAATAACCTAACGCACCAGGTACCGTCTAGCTTGAACTAGGTCGCTGTTCGTACCAGGTCACAGGTGTTAGCTAAACATTAATAACTATCTCTTTTATTGCAAAAATTGGGCGTAATAATTAAATCGGAAGGCTTAAAAATATGAACGTGACTGACAAAAATTTACAAAAATTGGTATTTATCTTTTATACCAATTTTTGGTATAAATATTGTGTTATAACAAATTGAAATAACACGATATTTTACGATAAGAATAAAACTGCTTTCTAGAGACTGGACGTAGATATTAAAGTAATAATAGAGTAATTATTATAAGAAGTACTTGATTTTATAGTCTCACGAGGGAGCCTGATATCAGTGCTACCAATCA